TGTTTGTTGGGTGGGTGGGGGACAAAAGCTCTTTTTAAAATTTCTTTTTTATTTCAGCATATTACAAGGGTACAAATGTTTAGGGTACATACATTGCCCCTTCCCCACCCAAGTCAGAGCTCCAAGCATGTCCATCCCCCAGTTGGTGCGCACCGCACCCATTAGGTGTGTGTGGTGTGTGTATACCCATCCTCTCCTCCCCCCTCCCATCTGCCCAACACCCAATGAATGTTATTACTATATGAAAAGCTCTTTACTAGATAACTGCATATGTGTAAAAAATGAGGAGAGTGACTAGAAAGGGTGTGAAAAGCCTTTTCTTGGAACACAGCATAACATTTTGGTTAAGTACATTGTTATTTGCACCAGTCTGTGTTCAAATCCCGACCCCATGCCACTGACTAGCTATGTGAGCTTGGCCAAATGGCTCCGTCTCCCAATCTGTAAAATGGAAATAATATTAGTACATAATTTATAGCATTGTTGTGAGAATTAAATGAGTCAGTGCCTGTCATATAGTTCCTACTTGAGGAGCATTATGTTCCTACCCATGGCAGAGGAGATTAGGCATCCACTTATTTGACAGTATGAAGTTAGGACAGATTAGGTAACTTTCGGCGTCTTGAAGGCATCAGTACAGTTCAGGAGAGAGTTGGGGACCCTGGGATAACACTGTAGGAGCAATAAATCAGGTCTTAAGATTGTTTGTGGCTGTGATGTGCAGCTAGCTCTCTGGTTAAGTGTGGACCTAATGGAATTAAAGTTGTTGGGAGTTACCAGCATCCCTGTCTGAATCTTTGCCTTGCTCAGGACTTGAGCAGAACTAATCTAGAACAACCAGGAGAGTGATCTGAGTAGTCAACCTCTTCCTTTCGGATCTCTAATTGGCAACTGTCCTGTTCCCATCAAATAGTGCTTTTCAAAAAACAGAGTTACTGATATATAATTCACATACCATATGATTCGCTCTCTTAAAGTGTACAATCCAGTGGTTTTTAGTAGATCTACAGAGTTATTCAAGCATCATTGCACAATTTTAGAACATTTTTAACACCCTGCAAAGAAACCCTTTTCCTGTTAGCAGTCAATTCTCATTTCAGCTCCTGGCAACCACCAAATCTACTTCTTGTCTCTATGGGTTTGCCTATTTTGGACATTTCCTATAAATGGAATTGTACAATATGTGGTCCTTTGTGTCTGGCTTCTTTCACTTAGCAGAATATTTTCAAGGTTCATCCATGTTGTAGCATGTATCAGTACTTCATTCCTTTTAATTGCAGAATAATATTCCACTGTGTGGGTATAAAACATTTCATTTATCCATTCATTCATTGATAAATATTTGGGTGATTTCTACTTTTTGGATA